CAAATAATGAGAACAAACCTTGATCTCCATCTTCTCATCCACAAACCCACCTCCCTCACTTTCGGTTCCCGAAAAATAAGCTTCCGGGCACCTATTTTTCACCTCATACTTAGTACAAAAAGGCAGCCACCACTTACAAAACCTCCAAGCCTCTCTCATGGCTTCCAAAGTCACAGACGAGCCTCCATCGTCCGAAACATAAACCGAAAGCTTTCCTTTTGGGTAATCGAGAGCCATGGCCGATATAACCGTATTCATAACCCCTAAAGAAGGCTCCTTACTCGGATCAGCCGTACATATAAACACGTCAATATTCGGAAACTCATCATTGTTTGCAGGCAGTCTTTCGGGATATGCAGTTCGGGTCACAATCCTCCATCTGAAGGCCTGGTGCAAGGCCCATTGGAAAATCAAAACAAGCTCAGAGATGAAGATAAGGGTATATGGGAGAAGGGGAGTTTCTCTTGTTTTGATGATTTGGGATAGTTTAGTGAGCCTGTAGTGAACAATGGCTGATAATGCAATTCCAAGGAACAACATGTACACTCTGTTTATTATCATCTCTGTTCTTAGGACATGACATTCATTTAGTGTGTTATTTTTCTCCATTGCTTTCGTTGATGTTTTGTGTGTGTGAAGAGTGTCTTGACAACTCGTCCAAGAGATTTTTCCTTTATTATTGAATTATTATTATTATTATTATTTTGTGTGTGGCCATGAATTACTTAAACATGGAAGTGTACTCAATTTCTCAAATTTGAAAGGCTAGGGCCGGCTTTAAAGAAAATTTTCGGTATAGTCATTATCATTTATCCATCAAGCAATTAAAATTTCACCATTGTTCCATTTCAATTTTTTCTCTTCACTGCTTAAGTTTTGTTATTTTTATTATTTCTCTATCGTATCAAAAATTCTTTTTCTCAGAAGTTAATCTCAGAAATGCAATACATACCTTTATTTTTATTATTTCTCTATCGTATCAAAATTTAATATTGCATTTATATCACATAATTTTATATTATTTGAATTATTAAATTCTTCAACTAATTTTTCTTTCAGTAACAATTATTCTTTTAATCGATGATAGCAAATTCAACAGGACAATTTGTCTTGCTATAAGCTTCCCATTATTCTTTGCAATGATATTTCCAAACTCTGTGCTGATTTTTGGTGGCAAAATGGGGAGAATAATGGTAAAGGCATTCATTGGAGGAGCTGGAATCTCTTGACAATACCTAAGCTGAATGGGGGACTTGGATTTCTTGATACAAGACTGTTCAATGAAGCTCTAATTTGCAAGCAATTGTGGAGGATTGCCACCAACCTGAATTACTTGTATCCAAAATTCTCAAAGACAGATACTATCCAGACTGCTCCATCCTTGAAGCTGTCAAACCTCAAAAAAGATCATGGCTGTGGAACTCATGGCTTGATGTGCTGCCTATGTTTGCTAAGTAGCTGAAAATTGAAATAAGAAATAGAGCTCAAACAAGAATCAGTGATTTGAACTGGATTCCTCAGTTGCCAAAGGTCACACCTCAAATGATTGAGATAGCCAAAGGACATCTTATATGGGTCAAGGAGCTAATGGATGCTGATGGAAAGGACTTGAATGAGTGGCGGATAAGGCAAATCTTCAATGACACTGATAGTGAAGCTATTCTGAGTATCAAATCTATTAACAAGGACATGAATGATAGATTATACTGGGGACTGGAGAAGAATAGAAATTTTTCTGTGGCCAGCACTTATTCCTACCTTGTTTCTTAGAAAGATGTTGAAACTTGATAGACTTGAAAGCAGTAATGCAGCACAAAGGAGTACTACCACTTATAGAGGCTGGGGTCTGAAAATACAGGGAAAGATAAAACATTTCCTTTGGAAATGTTTATCTGGTACTCTTCCAGTGGCTACAAACCTTGTGAGGAAAGGCATCGACATTGACATCATATGTTCTCTTTGTGGAGAAGGGCCAGAGACAATTGAACACATCTTTTTTACCTGTACAAGAGCATGTCGAGTATGGGAAAAGGCTCCAGTGCAATGGGAAGGACTCTGCAGCTTTACTCACTCATTCAGAGCATGGTAGCAAGGGGTTTGTTCTCTTAATAGCTCTGATGTTTCTGAAGCAAGGATCCAGCTGTCCACCTATATCCTTTGGTGGCTCTGGAAATCCAGAAACTTGTGGATTTTTCAGAGGACACTGCTCCCAGTGTATACTCTCATCAAGACAACTCTAAAGGATTGGTCAGATTTTGTTCATGCGTGTTGATATTTCCTGTGTAGTCCATCTATTTATGTTATCCAAACTCTGTGATTTATTGTAGTATTTCTGTAGCTTTCATTTTGATTTTGGGTTGAGAGTCTAGCTAGACTTTTTAGCAGTGGATAGGCTCTCTATTCCTTTTGCAGTTTCTCTTATGTATTTTGTTGAGATTCTAGGACACCCTTGATGTGCCTCTCATGTTGTTTAGGTTGAGTAGGGTCTCCCTTTGTATTAGAACTCTGTTCTCGTTTGAGTTTAATCAATACTATCCCTATCGTTTTGGTAAAAAAGTAGAAAGGACATATTGTCTTTTTCTACCATACCTCCAACAAATGGTCGATCCTTTAGTAGGTGGTGCATTATGCCAGTCTTTTCTGAATGATTGGCATTTAGAAAACTTAAACCTGATAATCTTTAGGTCCTCCCTTTAGGGGTGAGCATGAGTCGGTACGGTTCGGAGATTGATAAATCTCTGAACTGCACCGAAGTTCGAAAATCACTAAAATTCGATCTTCAGAACCGTACCAAAAAATCAGTTCGGTCCGATTCGGAAGATTTTTATTTTTCGGTTTGGTTCAGTTCGGTTTTCGGGACTATCGGAATGGTTCGGTTCGGATATTCAGAGATTTCTTATCATTTTTAAATTTTTTTTGAATGATCAGCTAGTTATATATTATTTTTATATGTTCTTTTTTTTTTTAAAAAAAAAATCCAACATTCATCAATAGTTCATCATACTAAATATTTTATTTTTAAATGAACGTTAGAAATAATCATAAATTTTGGTTAAGACTAAATTCAACCAACATTGAAAATTTAAAATTCAAAACAATATATTACAATTTTATATTAAAGTAATATTTATTTAACATTCCATATCATGTTAGTTTTAAGATAAAACTAAGGATGAGTATCGACAACTTTAAGTAAAGCTTAAATATTTTTTTAAAAAATCTTTAACCTTTCATTCCATTTTAATTTTTTTTTACTAAACATGAAATAAAGTGAATCTTAATTGTTATTACTATATTTTATCTGCATTTTTAAAATTTTCAAATTATATAGGATCAAAGTTGACATAAAATATATTAATAAAATGCATCCATTTTTATAACTTTGTTCTTAATTTCGGTTCTTCGGTTCGGTACGGTACGAGATGATTCGATTCCGTTGTCGTTACGGATATTTATGAAATATCCAGAACTGTACCAATTATTTTTTCAGTTCGGTTCGGATAAAGTCTAACTATCAACGGATATTTTTCGGTTCGATTTTTGAAACGGTTCAGAATTCTCTGAGTCCCATGCTCAGCCCTACCTCCCTAAGGTTATCTCCAGCTTTTATCTCTACTCTAACGCAGGCTTTACTCTACTCTAGAGTAGAGTTGAACATTCATCTCCAGCCCTTATCTCTACATTTTACTCTACATCAAATATATTATTTTTTTTTTATTAATTTTTATTTCAAATAAATTGATATATATGTATATCTAATCTTATATAAAATGTTAGTTACTCAAATAATAAAATGTTTTTTATGTATTTTTATTTCAAATGAATTGGTATATATATGTATATTTAATTTAAAAAAATGTTTATTACTCAAATAATAAAAATATATTTCATTTATTTTTATTTTAAATAAATTGTTATATATACAAATATGTAATCTTATATAAATGTTTATTATCCAAATAATAAAAAAAAAATTATGTATAACAACACGAGACTGCTTCATAAGTTCAAACAAAAGGATATTGCTGGAAAGCCACATTGCTTATCGATATAAAGGAGTCTTGAAATGTCGTTGGCGTTGGGAGAACGTAGATATTGCTCTCCGAATATCTCTACAACAGCACGACAAAATTTCTGCACGCATTCAATTGCGGTGGACTCTCCAATATTTATGTATTCATCTGTCGCATCTGCAGGTACATAGTATGCTATTATCCGAAGCGCAACAGTTAACTTTTGATAGGTAGACAATCCGAGTCTACTAACTGCATCTCTTTGCTGCAAAAAATAATCATCATGACTTTTAACTGCATTTGCTATATGAAAAAATAAATTTCTAGACATCCGAAAACGTCTACGAAACAATGTTTCATTAAATTTTGGGTTTTCAGAAAAATAATCGTTAAAAAGACGACTTGCAGCTGCTTCTCGATCGTGAAATAATATTTTTCGACCAGGAACTGAACCTCCATGGCTTCGACCACCTTGTTGAGTTCTAAGAAATTCTTGCACAAGAATATTATTGTTGTAAATTTGTTGTGCTATCAGATGTGTCTCTATATCATAACTATCCAGTAGTTGTTCAAGTTCATCATCAGATGAATTTGAAGAAGAAAATACATAAGAAGTACCAATGTGGTTGGGATTCATATTTTTCTGGAAAATGCAAGAGTTTACGAATGAAAATTTTGTGTGAAAATCTCTGTATAAATAGTGATATAGAAATACAAAACTTTTAATCTGAGCCGTTTAATCTTGATTTTCATAAATAAGAATCCTACGGTTGATATGTAGATAAAAAAATCTACAACTTTTAATCTTAGCCGATAAATCTTGAGATAAGAATCCTATGTTTGATATGTAGATAAGAAAATTTACAACTTTTAATCTTAGCCATTAAATTGTGAGATAAGAATCTTACGGTTGATATGTAGATAACAAAATCTACAACTTTTAATCTTAGCCCTTAAATCTTGAGATAAGAATCCTACGGTTGATATGTAGATAACAAAATCTACAACTTTTAATCTTAGCCATTAAATCTTGAGATAAGAATCCTATGGTTGATATGTAGATAAAAAAATCTACAACTGTACAACTGTTAATCTTAGCCATTAAATTTTGAGATAAGAATCCTGCGGTTGATATGTAGATAAGAAATTTACAACTTTTAATCTTAGCCATTAAATCTTGAGATAAGAATCTTATGTAGATAACAAAATCTACAACTTTTAATCTTAGCCATTAAATCTTGAGATAAGAATCCTACGGTTGATACGTAGATAAGAAAATCTACAACTTTTAATCTTAGCTCTTAAATTTTGAGATAAGAATCCTACGGTTGATATGTAGATAAGAAAATTTACAACTTTTAATCTTAGCCATTAAATTTTGAGATAAGAATCCTACGGTTGATATGTAGATAAGATCTACAACTTTTAATCTTAGCCTTTAAATTTTGAGATAAGAATCCCACGGTTGATATGTAGATTAGAAAATCTACAACTTTTAATTTTAGCCATTAAATCTTGAGATAAGAATCCTACGGTTGGTATGTAGATAAGAAAATCTACAGCTTTTAATCTTAGCCATTAAATCCTGAGATAAGAATCCTACGGTTGATATTGTAGATAAGGAAATCCACAACTTTAAATCTTAGCCGTTGAATCAGATTTCCTATCACGAATGTCAACCGTACGATTC